TAGAAGCAAAATAAGCCTGAAAATTCAAAGAATATAAATATGAAAAATAAGAGCAGAAATTGAAGAAATTACAAGAGTTTTTTTTCTTTTCTTCCCCTTGTGGCCCACTGTTATATACAATGTGACCACAGTAATGGCATTAGAAGGAAAGATAAGAACAGAAAATTATTTGAAGCAATCATATCAGAAAACCTTTCCAAAAATGATGAAAAACATTAGCATGTACATGAAGAGCCTCCTCCAACTCCAAGGAGAATTAACATGAAAGCACAGATTTGGCCAAATCATTAGAAAATGTGGAGAAGCCACAACAAAGTAAAAATCTTGAAATCAGTTAAAAAAAACCCCACATATAAATAACAAAATGGATTCACATGTGCAACTAAACCAGAAAAAGATGAAAATGACCGTGGAGGGTTCTCCAGCCTCAGTAAGTGAAGGAGGACTATAATCATGTACAATTAATTCTGCTGCTTCAATGAAACTAAATTTGTAATGAAATATATAAAAAGTAAAAGTTAAAAATAGGGTTAAATCAACTGACTTCTGAGTGACAACCTGATCTAAGAATATTCAAGGGCAAGTAGAATTAAGTATATATGCATATTCTATATATATACTATCTGTTATATGTTTTTATTTTATAAATAGTATTTATGTAAACACATAGGTTTTTAATTTTTCTTTCTAAAATGTGTCATGCCACTCCTCTCATGACTGCATATTTTTATGTAGCCAAAAGGATCTTTTACTTGATTTAGGTCAGTGAAAAAATAATAATATTTTCTCACTTCCAGTTTGCCTTTTGAGTTTCCTTGTATGCATTTTTCTTAACAACTAAATCATCTTAATTTTATAAACAATGTGGCATAAAATATTGCAAATTTTTACATGATTATATTTTTCTTCACACAATACTATACTTCTCTGTCTTTCCCCAACCTCATTTCTTCTTGATTTTCTTTATATGAAAATTAACTTGATTGAAGCCAGTAAAAATTATTTATCTTTTCTGTCAGTTCTAAGCTTTTTAAAAAATACCTTTATATTCATTCTTTCTCATATCTGAATCATGTTAGCTTTTTTCCATGTATAAAATGTAAGTATATAGCATAGACTAGAAGCATGGCTCAAGTGGTAAAACACTTACCCCTAATCAGAAGGCTCTGAGTTCAAATTCAGTACCAGCAGATAAAAAGGCATAGCAAACAAAAGGAAATTAGTAAACAGAGCAGAAATAATATTTTGGTATCACACATTCTTTAAAGGCCAACAGGAAGCACCAAACTTTGTGGCATATGCTTATAGTTCCCTACTCAAAGACTAAGCCAACAGTGGGGATGGGGGACAGAGAGCAGTTAATAGTGAGTATCTGTTTCAAACTACATACACACACACACACACACACACACACACCGAAAATAGTCAAAGGGCATTAAAGAGGGTTATTCACACATTAATTGTGAGACTGATCAAATCAACATTTAAAGAGATACAAAATATATCATAAAATGGCATGTACAATATTTATTAACCATTTCCCTAAGAATTGGGTGTTTCTGGAAATGTTTTAGTCAAGAAAATCAGAAGTTCAAGGCCAATCTGAGCTGCATAATATACAACCTAAGAATATGATAAAAAATACTGTAATACAGAAGCTACTTCTGAAATACTTCAACCTTCTTTCCCTGATTTCTGTTTCTTTACAGTAAGGTTCTCTCAGATTTATATTAGATTCTTCCCTAAGCTTTATTTTATCTTGGTATCTGAGTCTCTCACCTTGCTGCTTATTGTATTCTATCTATTCTTATCCACATTTAATAACTACTAAATTATTTTATCTTTATAAAAATCTTATAAGGAATATGATAGTTCTTTTCAAGAATCCATACTATCCAATAAGCTGACTATCACCATCGAATTCCTCAACATTGGAAAGAGTTTTTAGCTAGCTGCATTTGTCAGTAAAAATAATTGATGCAATGACAAATGTTTCTTTGATCAGAAATATCATTTCACATAAAGAATCCAAGAAGCAGCAACTAATATCATCAACTGTAACATATACAGTAATAGCATTCTTGTCCATAAGTAGATTCTTGTTCTTAGAATCTTCCTAGAAAGTAGCTCCAACTGAATCCAGCAAAAAAAAAAATGTATAAACTTCCAGATAGTTCAGTGCACCAATCCAAATGTCTACATATAAATCATCTCAATCTCCTAAGTAACTTGTTCTATTTGAGGCAAACCCTTGGAGATAAGGGCCAAGCTGAGCAGAAGGTAGTTTAAACAGATCAACAAGAAAGCAAAGACATCACATACCAGGAACAAGTATAGGTCCTAAGGAAAAAGGTTGTTTTTTTTTTAAAAATCTTTCTTTCTTTCTGGAATCATCCTGCTTGCTGAACATTTGGTTATCTTGGTTAGAGACTATCTCAGGATAAATTCTGTGCAAGCCTTGTTTAAGTAACATGGAATTTGCTGATTATTTTTATTCTGAAATTGCTTTCTTAGACCTGGTATTCTAAGTTTAATGTAACCAATTTTAAGACAAAATCCAGCTTGAAACAGATTGCTTCCTACTTAAGTAGAAAAGTTGGCTTAATTGGAACACACACACAAAAAGAGGAAAAAAACATTTCCACATTTTAAAAAAATCAGTAAAAGAAAGGGAAAATTATGGAGAAGGAGATCAGTTAGTAGGAGAAAAACATACCTGATACAAATACCCAGGACACATAACCAAGAAGAAAACATCTCCATGCAGCAGGATACCCAGCTGACTATAAGAACTACCACAGAAAAGAAGATGCTAGAAGACTCTCCTTGGAATAGCTAAGTAAGGACTTGTGAACTTTTAGGGCTTATTTAAGTATTCAGCCCTGGAGCCATTTGTGTCTTTGGGGAAATATTTCTGTGTTCATAACACCACCATGAGTTCTGTAAGATAGTTTTCCTTTTCCTTACCTTTCTCCCTTTATTTACTGTCAGTAATATTTTAAAAGAATAGTTGCTTTGCCCAAGTGTTTCTATTTCAATGGATGTCTATGCCACATAAATATTCTCTTAATCTATGCATTAACCCCCTTTAGAGCTGTTTTCATTCATGGCCTATATTTGACCCATGGAGGACTATTTGTGACTATCTTACATCATAAAGAACTGAGAACCTGAAATAGAAACAAAAGGATATGGTAGTTGAAAGCTCCGACGTCATGCTTGGGATCCTGAAAGTTTCAATGATAAGATCAAGGATGTAGCACAGCACCCAGCCATAGGAAATAGTTGCAAGCAGGAAGCTATGATAGGAAAACTGATGCTATTGATCAAGGATCACCAAAAAAGGCAAATTGCTTAGAAGATTGGTCCACAGATACTGATAAAAACTGTATCCCATTTCTTTTTAATTAGAATTATACGATGTAAGCAAGAGACATAAGAATGACTTGGACAATGCAAAAGGAATATTTGGAACTACTGTATACTTCTTTAAAGAAAGTCATCCTTATCTCCTGTATCTCTTATATTTTGATTGCTTTAAATCTTACTTAAGTTACCGTGAATATTCTGTTCTTCATTAGGTATATGTTTTAAAACAGAGTCCACAAGCCTGGCATGCATGTTTTTAATTCTCCCTCATTTATTTCCTTTTTTATTATAGTCATTATTATGTACTACTTTTATGTTGTAAAGAAATTTTAATATAAATTCTTACCTTCAAGTAATTCTTATCTTTTAAGTACTGTATTTTTCTGAAAGAGTATATTCATTTGATAGTGATTATTCTTACTCTTTATGTAATTTTTCCCATCTTTCCATTTCCTTACAAATGAGGCAATGCCATTCTTTTTGACAGAAGCATAGAATTTCATTTTGTACATTCACATTTTCTTGAAAAGAACTCGAAGATATGGATATGAGGATTTTGTTGGAAGAAATAACTGTGAAGTTATTTCTTTTTTCTTTCATTTGATTTTTCCCCCTTTGGTTTATCCCCTGTTAACAGTATTTTTTTATTTTGGTGCTCTGTGTCTTGTATATACATTTCTCTGATTTGGGGAAGGAATGGGGAACGACAAAATGGTGATGCAAAAGACAAAGAGTGAACCACTGCAACAAAGATACTCACAAGACACTATGCTGGAAATGAACTTTACAATTCGTTGGGAGAGGGGGGGAAAGCCCAAGGGGAGGAGGGAAAAATGAGTGAGAGGGGTATCAATGTCTGACAAGAAATGTACTCATTAACTTATTTATGTTACTGTAACTCCTATGAATATCATCCTTACAATAAAATAAATTAATTTTTAATATGTAATTTTGAACTAATTAAATATGTGAAAAGGTCTGGCTGTTTGTTTAATTGTGAAACATTTAATGCTTTTTCTTGTACAGTACAATTTTATTTGTATTCTTATCTAACTGACTAATAACTTGAACTATAAACATAGACTCTAGGAGATAATAGTCTCAAAGTTATCCAACTAGAAAAGATCGAGGAATCTGTTCAAAGTAAAATGAATCCGTAGATTGAAATGTCCATCATTTCATTTCTTTATTCATTTGTTTTGTGCTGGTTCTGGGGCATGATTTTAGGATCACAGCACTGTCTCTTACCTTCTTTACTCAAGGCTGGTGTTCTATCACATCAGACAACGTTCCACTTATAGTTTTGTGATGATTAATTGTAGATAAGAGTCTCACAGATTTCCTTGGCCAATATTCTGGTCTAGGCAACAGTATAGGCTTGAGCCACTGGGTTCGGGTTTATTAATTTAAAAAAATTGAAATAGTTTTGCAAGGAATCTTGAATTACATTTTTTCTTGGAAAAATAAAAAAATAAGCTAATGGCAACATTGGCCATGTATTTCAAAATAGAAGTAACCAGACTGTTGTTTCATTTAGTAAATGTGGTTTTTAGCCTCTTCAACACAAGATACTTACAAATTTACCACGGATTTAATTGCAACATTGAATGTATGAATTATCTTCTTTTCAGGTTGATCTCCTTGTCCCTACCAAAGTAACTGGCATCATCACACAAGGAGCTAAAGATTTTGGTCATGTACAGTTTGTTGGTTCATACAAGCTAGCCTACAGCAATGACGGAGAACACTGGACTGTATACCAAGATGAAAAGCAAAGAAAAGATAAGGTAAGTCATCCAACTGATTTCTGGAGTCCATGAGGAGAAAAGCCAGTTCAGTTCTAGTTTCACTGAAGAAACTGCATTTACATGTAAAATACTGAAAATATAAATCACCTGTCTAATTATTTCATCAGCTCCCTAAGATGGCTAGTTAAAATGCGTTTTCTCAAACAAACAAACACAAGATTGGAGGTTAGAAAAGTTTGAATAGCCAAAGCAGGTTTGAGGTAATCAAGGCTCCAGTTGCAATATTCTGAAATGGTGCTGTGAAAATCCAGTCTTGACCCTATTGATTTATATGATATACAAATAAAGGAAGTGACAGCCTGTCTCTAATGAGCAGGTGCTTTCTGAAGGTTTTGAAATGAATTATTTGGGAGCATCATTGTCTATTGTTTCTCTTCCCTGTGATCTGCTAATCCCCAAAGGCAATCTGCAGTACACATTATGGATTCTGGCTCACATTTTTTATGTATGAAGCACCTGACACTAGTGATTAGTTTTTTTTTTTTTTTTTACCACATATGGTCAAAAGAAGTCCTTCTATATGCCTCTCTAGCCACCTTATCCATTTTTTTCGGGGATGAATATCTATTGTAGTACTTTTCAACTAGGGAAACATTGATTTCCTTATTTCCAATTCACACACACACACACACACACACACAATCTACAGCAGTTGCCAAATCCTTATTTTCAAAATATAATTTTTTTCACTTTTTCTATTCTTTAATGTGATTGTTTTCCTGTCAAAATATATTTTTTTATTTTTTCTGTTATAAAAGTCTTACATAGTATTAAATAATCAAAGGGTACAGAAGTATGTATGCTAGAAATGAATTTATTTTAACTATCCTCAGTTATTTTCTATTTTGTTATACTGTGAAAAATATCATACCATATTTTACCATACCATGTATTTGGTAGAATATATGATTTTCTTTCATGCATTGTTTTGACATAGATTTCCATTTCATTTTGTTAGCGCTAGGATTTGAACTAAGGAATTCAATATTGATAATATTTTTAAAGTAATTCATTTAAATAAATTACATTTGTAATTTGTTTAATTATGTAATTACAAATGTAATTTATTTAAATTTCAGTATTAAGTTACTGGTGAATTAATTTAAATATTACATATCAAAATGCAATGTAATATAATACAATTAAACGATATAATTTTTTTTTTTTTTTTTGTCGGTCGAGGGGCTTGAACTCTGGGCCTGGACGCTGTCCCTCAGCTCTTTAGCTCAAGGCGAGCGCTCTACCACTTGAGCTACAGCGCCACTTCCGGTTTTCTGGTGGTTTATTGGAGATAGGAATCACACGTTCTTTCCTGCCCTGGCTGGCTTTGAACCGCGATCCTCAGATCTCAGCCTCCTGAGTAGCTAGGATTACAGGCGTGAGCCACCAGCGCCCGGCAAACAATATAATTATTATAGATTATAATTGTTATATATGATTATAGGTGCAACTATAGGATAACACACTATTTTATAAGGTATTTTCATATCCAATTTTTAAAATTGTATTTGTCTCATTATAATTTTTGCTGGATAGTCTTGGGGATTTTTCTACCCTGACTGGCTTCAAATTTTGTTCCTTAGATCTCAGCTTTCTGAGCAGCTAGGACTATACACATGAAGCAACAGCACCCAGCCAAAGCAGTGTATCTTAGAAGTATCTTCCACCCCAAATCCTTTTTACTTCAACTTCTGCTATTTGTGATTACAAAACAAAAGGTTATCCTATCCCACCTGGCTTTCCAGACATTTGAGATTACATAGGCACCTTGAATTTTTAATTTGCTTGTTCATTCATGCATGATTCTGTAAGAACATTTGCTGTGAATTGTCTTTGTGGTCCAATCACAAAGTCTCCCTAACTTTTCCCTGGCAGGCCCTGAATTTGAAATACGTTTTCCTTCATCGCCCAGGTAGCTATTAATATTAGTGTACACGACCATGCCCAACATGCCTTAATAGTGGTAATAATGGTTTCATGGTGCTATTGTTCTTCATGATTGACATGATCTTAAAAGAGTCCCATGAGATAGGAACTCTGTAAAAAGATATGGAGACTCAGAGATTAAACTTACCCAAGTTCATACATGCAATAATGAGCAAAGCTGACATTTGAACATCGGAAAGTCTCTCTCTGATTGCTGCCTCAAATTCTGCATGTGATACAACTGCTAATGGTTAATGAACCCTTGGAAAAAGTTTAAATATTTTGTCTTAAGAAGTAGTAGACAACCTTCTTGGGAAGGAAATGTCTAGAACTAAGTGTTGCTATGTACAAATATCATCTCCAAAAAGTATCATCTCCAAAATATCCCCCAAAGCATGTCAAGAACTTATACATACAATCTTTTAAGAAAGAAAGAGTAGTGACATTTGGATCAAAATCTTGCATCAATAAATCTGAAAAGAAGAAATAGGAATTTACCATTCATTCAAGATAGATATTACCACAGTTCACCTAGGCTTCTATAGTTTTATCAGATTTTGTTTTAATAATGGTTTTAAGATTGCAGAATATATTTTAAAATACATACTACATTTATAGGTATAAAATATCTATCTGTCTATATCTATCTATCTATCTATCTATCTTTTTATACCTGAAGATATAGTGCATATATAGTCCCAGGAATTTGCCTCCACAATCACAAACAAAATAGATGGTATGCATTCATGTACTGAAGAATAATTGTCATTTTAAATAAGGCCTTGCTATGAAGCACAGATTGGCCTTAAGTACATCATCTTCCTGCTTCAGACTCCCAAGCTCTGAGATAATAAGTATATGTGACCACACCTAGCTAAGAACTGAAGTAGAATATTTGGGTACTACCAAATTGAGTCTGTGGTCAGGAAATAAACTCCTACTTAGGCAATGTAAAACATAGTATAGGTTAATACATGCTTTTACTGAAAACAATATAATCTCGAATTCTCATGTGAGACAACAGGCAAGGTAAAATTTTGGAAAAATTAAACCATTTTATTTGGGTGCTAGTGGCTCACTCCTGTAATCCTAGCTACTCAGGAGATTGAGATCTGAGGATCCCGGTTCAAAACCAGACTGGACAGAAACGTTCATGAGACTCTTATCTCTAATAAACCACTCAGAAAACCAGAAATGGTGCTGTGGCTCAAGTGGTAGAGTGCTAGCCTTTAGCTGAAGAGTTGAGGGATAGCACCCAGGCCCAGAGTTCAATCCCCACAATGGACAAAAAAAATAAAATAAAAAATAAACCACTTCAATACTATAAGCATGTAGCTTGAATAGTATCATTTACCTAATTGTTTTAAAATTCCATCTAGCCATATAGGCACACTAACGAAGAACCCATGTTTATTATTTATTATAGAAAGATACAATTAACATCAAGGAAGCATAGATAAAAAGGCAGCAATAGATATTTCCACAAAATAAATTACTTTATATATGAAAAGAAGCTATAAAGCATTGGACCTCTCTAATCCTACATAGAAAGAAAATTAGTAAAAATGAATGTGAAACTGATCACATAAGCTCACTAACATTTGGAGAAGGGCATTGTTATTTTATATATTTATAAAATATATATACATATCAGTCAAGATACATATTTTTTGAAATTAAATAATTATTATGCTTTTCTTAGTGTTGTCATTGTTATATTTTCTGGGATTATATATTATTCTATTCTATTCTATATATTATATATTATTCTATATATTATCTTTATATTTATTATATAAAGATAAATATTACATATTGTCTTTCCCCAATGTATACTTCTCACAAGGGATAACTATTAATTAGAAATTCATTTTTCTGAGTTCAACTATAATATCCCTAATAAATTCTTTTCTTAAATATACTTTTATTCATTTATTTATTTTTTGTCAGTTATGGGACTTGAACTCTGGGCCTAAGTGCTGTCCCTCAGCTCTTCAGCTCAAGTCTAGTGCTCTACCACTTGAGCCACAGCACCACTTCTGTTTTTTTCTGTTTATGTGGTCCTGAGGAATTGAACCCAGAGCCTCATGCATACAAAGCAATTGCTATACCACCGAGCCAACTTCCCAGCCCCTATTTTTATTTTCTTTAGGTAGATGTATAAAGGAGTTGCCATTCAACAGAGCAGTTTATGAATGCAGTGCCTCTTGATGAATGCCACTCTTTTCCATTCTCACCTACCCTTCCCACTGACTTCCCTCATTTTTCTTAACTTTTAAGTTATGTATTGAATTTTTGCCATTTAACAAAATTTTGGTTTCTTATTAATTATGTTTTCATTCCTTAAAGAAACTACTCCCTAATAATTACAGGTCAATATTCAACTATAAGCTTTCAATCAAATAGATGTTATAAGTGAATTAAGTACTTCCGGGTATTACATAAATGTAAAAGATGTTTTATAGATGGAAATTGCAGTGGAAATAATTACAAACTAAAGTTTCTAATTCTCTTATTGTGACTGATCTACTGGATGCTTGCTTTCTGAAACTTTGGAAGTCTAATCTTGATCTATATGTAATAGCAATTCTAGGTTTAAAATAAATGGTATAGATCAAATTATCAAAGTATTTCTGTCTTTTCATTAGTCAGAACTGAGTTAAAGAAAATTATATATGTACATAAGAGTGACAATGTGCATATGAATGCAACTATGCATATATATGTATATATATAGATATATATGTATACACACACAAGTCAACTGAAGAATACAGGATGCCTTATTCTCTTCTGTAAGATAACAGTTTCTGATTACCTTCCACAGCATTCACAGAACTGAAATTACTTTAGCCTTCTGTCTTAAAACAAAATTCCACATTAAATCTTGGGTAACCAAGTTTTTGAAGACACCTCCAAACATCTGTATGTTTTTATATTTCTTTTCTCATGTACAATATTTTCAAACATTAAGCTGACTTTTACATTGCTTCATATCATGGATTAAGCTACATTTTATTTGAAATTCAAATGTTCCTTTGCACTTATGAAAG